CAGTCACAAAAAGAGAAATACTGCATAGGACCACTACTGTAAAAGACTAAGAAAAAGAACCCATACTAAAGGGGCGGGGGCATTCTTTGCTGGTTACTGGAATGTGGAGGGTAGGGTGAGAGGAGGGAGGGGAAGGTGGAGCACAGCATAGGACACAGGATAGTTTGGGTGCTGGGAAGGGGGGCAATACACAAGAAGAGTGAGGGGAATGGAAGAACAAGGCAGATGTGAAAACAATTAGGCAGGTTTGTATGGGCTAAGCGGGACAGAGATAAATAATGATGTATGCACAATCTTGGAACAACAGGGCTCTGGGATACACGGATTGAGACATGGTTGGAATGGGGGAAAGGGGGAATAATGTTAAGATGCTTGGCTGTCTTTTGATTCTTGGTTTCCTTAGCATACCATTATAAAATAGACACTGGAGGGGGAGAGAAAGGAATAGCCAGAAATATCACCATAGAACGCTTGTAAGTCTGTCTTCTGCCTATAACTGATTGGAACACCTAAAATGGGGCTACAATGTGCCCAGGGAATGAGGCTTCCTGCGGAGCCTCTGCATTACATAAAACTATAGGTGGAATTCTGAACCTCACCCAGAATCATCTGAGGTGGAAATTTTCTACTTGAAAGGACAAGCAGACCATCCTGGAGTGACTAGAAGAACAGAAGATACTTCCTGAAAGAAAGACCAACAGGAAAAACACAAAACAATAATGGCAGTCCGGCTGATTACTACCAGAACAAGCAAGTTGCTCGCCCAGGAGACATCAAGGCAAGTGGTCAGGTCCCCTCAGGGCAAACCCCCTTCCAAGACTAAGACTCAATGGGAATACATGCTCTGATTGGTGACCATGTTCGTCACTGATAAGGGGTAAGTGAGGTAAAAACAGCAATGAAGCTAGAAGCTAAGCCCTACAACGTTCAATAGATTCCTGTGAACTCGGGTAGAGACCTGGTTGTCCAGCAGTGTGGCAAGACCTGGGGACTCTTGGGCCCAGAGTCAGTGACATAGCCACAGAGAACTAAAGTGGAGAGTGAGACGTCCAGCTGATAAGGAGAGAGGGCATATGCACAAGAACACCCACACTTGCAGATAATACCCACTTGACCTGGCTTCAATGACTGGATGATCAGAGCTCAACCAAAAGAAGAAAGAAGAGGAAGATGAGTAATCTTATACAATTTAAAGAACTTGACCTACACCTATGGATGTAGTAGCTCAAAAGAGGGAACAAATCTTTACATCAAGGATCAATCCCACTCCCTCCATACAAGAATAGACAGGGATGGACAACTTGACATTGGCTACCCAAAATGGGGGGCTACAATGGCAAGAAGTGACTGGCTTACAAGCTTTCAAGAGAGAGCCTAGATCTAGAGGGCGTGAAGGAAGGTAGAATCTCCATTGAGTAGTATCCAATCTGTCTAGGCGGGATTGATGAAAGGAGATGGGGATAGGTCCCTTGTGGTACAGTGGTGAGTAATTGTTATCAGAACTGACTGTGAGGGTTGGAATTGTAAAGGTAGACGTTTTGTAGCAAAAGGAGGGGAGTGATTGACTTTTGCAGTACAGGAGCGGAGGTCTCTGGAACCATCAAGGGAGAAGAGCAGAGTGCGAGACCCTACCCAGAGAAGCAGTGACACCAGAGATGGAGGCAGAGACAATGACTTGAAGACATGGAGTGGCTTGGGACTCTAGACTCAGAGAGGGAGAGGTTGGTTGATGATGCATGTAGGGGATTGTAACCATGGCTATGAAACGATATACGATAGGATGAATGTAAAGCTAAT